GTAGCTCATTGAGGCTTTCACTTGCATTTCCCTAAGAACAAATGAAACTGAACAGTGTTTAATACATTAATTGAATCAGAATTTTTTTTTTTTTTTTTTGAGACGGAGTTTCGCTCTTGTTACCCAGGCTGGAGTGCAATGGCACGATCTCGGCTCACTGCAACCTCCATCTCCTGGGTTCAAGCAATTCTCCTGCCTCAGCCTCCCGAGTAGCTGGGACTACAGGCGTGTGCCACCATGCCCAGCTAATTTTTGTGTTTTTAGTAGAGACAGGGTTTCACCATGTTGACCAGGATGGTCTGGATCTCTTGACCTCGTGATCCACCCGTCTTGGCCTCCCAAAGTGCTCGGATTACAGGCGTGAGCCACCGCGCCCGGCCGAATTGGAATTTTTAAAGTGCCTATCCAAATTATTTGCCTTTTGTTTTTTTTGAGACAGAGTCTCTGTCGCCCAGGCTCCTGTGCAGTGGTGTGATCTTGGCTCACTGCAACCTCAGCTTCCTGGGTTCCATCAATTCTCCTGCCTCAGCCTCCCTAGTAGCTGGGATTATAGGCAAGAGCCACCACGCCCAGTTAATTTTTGTATTTTGAAGAGACCAGTATTCACCAAGTTGGCCATGCTGGTCTCAAACTCTAGACCTCAGGTGATCCCCTGCCTGGCCTCCAAAAGTGCTAAGATTATAGGTGTGAGCCACCACACCCGGCCCATTTTTCTATTATCTGTCATCTTTTTCTTTTCTTTTTTTTTTTTTTTTTGAGACTGAGTTTCGCTCTTGTTACCCAGGCTGGAGTGCAATGGCGCGATGTCGGCTCACCGCAACCTCCGCCTCCTAGGTTCAGGCAATTCTCCTACCTCAGCCTCCTGAGTAGCTGGGATTACAGGCACACGCCACCATGCCCAGCTAATTTTTAGTATTTTTAGTAGAGACGGGGTTTCACCATGTTGACCAGGATGGTCTCGATCTCTTGACCTCGTGATCCACCCGCCTCGGCCTCCCAAAGTGCTGGGATTATAGGCTTGAGCCACCGTGCCCGGCCTTTTTTTTTTTTTTTTGAGACGGAGTTTCGCTCTTGTTACCCAGGCTGGAGTGCAATGGCGTGATCTCGGCTCACCGCAACCTCCGCCTCCTGGGTTCAGGCAATTCTCCTGCCTCAGCCTCCTGAGTAGCTGGGATTACAGGCATGCGCCACAACGCCCAGCTAATTTTTTTTTTGTATTTTTAGTAGAGACGGGGTTTCACCATGTTGACCAGGATGGTCTCGATCTCTTGACCTCGTGATCCACCCGCCTCGGCCTCCCAAAGTGCTGGGATTACAGGCTTGAGCCATCGCGCCCGGCCTAGTTGCTAACTTCTTTAGATCCAAGTCTGAGATAGGAAAGAAAAACGAAACATGAGACACTGCAGTGTTGTTCCTTGAGCCCTGAGGTTCCTAGCTGGTCCATTTGGTTTCCACCTTTCAGAGTTTTATGTTGATTTTCTTTTTTTTTTTTTTGAGACAAGGTCTCTAGCTCTGGAGTGACAAGATCTCGGCTCACTGCAACCTCCACCTCCTGAGTTCAAGCGATTCTCCTGCCTCAGCCTTCCCGGTAGCTGGGATTACAGGTGCTTGCCACCACACCCAGATAATTTTTTGTATTTTTACTAGAGACTGGATTTTACCTTCTTGGCCAGGATGGTCTGGATCTCTTGACCTTGTGATATGCCTGCCTCAGTCTCCCAAAGTGCTGGGATGACAGGTGTGTGCCACTGCTCCCAGGATGTTGATTTTTTTTTTTTTTTTTAAAGATGGGGTTTCACCATGATGGCCAGGCTGGTCTTGAACTCCTGACCTCAAGTGATCCACCCACCGCGGCCTCCCAAAGTGCTAGGATTACAGGCGTGAGCCACCGCGCCCAGCATGTTGATTTTAAATAGAATGTTATGCATAAAACTTTTTTTTTTTTTTTTTTTTTTTTTTGTTTGAGATGGAGTTTCGCTCTTGTTATCCAGGCTGGAGTGCAATGGCGCGATCTCGGCTCACCGCCACCTTCGCCTCCTGGGTTCAGGCAATTCTCCTGCCTCAGCCTCCTGAGTAGCTGGGATTACAGGCACACGCCACCATGCCCAGCTAATGTTTTGTATTTTTAGTAGAGACGGGGTTTCACCATGTTGACCAGGATGGTCTCGATCTCTCGACCTTGTGATCCACCCGCCTCGGCCTCCCAAAGTGCTGGGATTACAGGCTTGAGCCACCGCGCCCGGCCCCATAAAACTTTTCTTTTGGTGCTACAAAGAAAAATTAGTACTGGGAAAAAGGATCTCTCAGTAAAGCAATTCTTTTTACTTCCTGCAGAAAGTGCACTCCTATTAGTAACCTTGCCAAGAGAGTACAATGAACAAAGGAAGCCAGACATATTTATTTCTTATGCATTTGGGATTGCCCTTATTGCTGTGTCTGATCTCCGTTGGCTGGAGCCAGACCTCACAATCTAAACTAAAACTAGATAGGCTAATAACTTGAAACTTTTCCAAACAGGTAAAAGCAATGAAAAGCCAAAAAAAAAAAAAAAAAAAAAAAAAATGAAGTCCAAACAAGGAACGGACATAGGCTTAAAGCTGGGACATGCCTGTGAGCATGTCCAGCACAGATATCTTGGTTAAAGTACAAGGACATAGAATGTACTACGTGCCTAGAATCATGTCTGATAGCTACATAGGATAGGGCTTCCAGCAAAAAAGCAAGAAGGCTTCTGAAGAAACTGTTTAAAACAAACTATTATTTCTAACATTTATGAATTTTTCTTAAACAAGAAAGAAAACTTTGAAGAGGAATTTTTCTACTTTCCACATATAGTGTCTAGGAGTTTTAGTTGTAATTAGTGGGAGGACTAGGGAAAAGTTTGTCTACTCTGCCTTCCTCAAAACCCAGTTATTTCGCAAGTTAATATTTCTCAATTTGTTTCTATGATATTCCCTCATGATTAGATTTCGGTTAGATTAATTTAGCTGTAATTCGGAAGAAGTGATGCTGAGTTCTTTTCAGTGCATCATATCAGAAAACACATGCTATCAATCAGTGTCATTATAAATGAATGATGTTAACTTTATTAGCTTTGATCACTTGGTAAAGATGATGTTTGCCAGGCTTTTCCACTGTGAAGTTACTATTTTACCTTTTATAGTTAATAAGTATCTTGCAGGGAGATAAAAGTTGAGATTGTGTAAACATCTTGGTCCTTAAACTTTTTTTTTTGAGACAGAGTCTTCTCACTCTGTTGCCCAGGCTGGAGTGCAGTGGTGCAATATCGGCTCACTGCAGCCTCCGCCTCCCAGGTTCAAGCATTTCTCCTGCCTCAGCCTTCTGAGTAGCTGGGACTACAGGCACGCGCTGCCACACCTGGCTAATTTTTGTGTTTTTTAGTAAAGACAGGGTTTCACCACATTGGCCAGGATGGTCTTGATCTCCTGACCTTCACCTCCCAAACTGCTAGGATTACAGGCGTTAGCCACCACGCTCAGACTCCTTAAACTTTTTTTTTTTTTTTTTTTTTGAGACAGAGTTTCACTCTTGTTACCCAGGCTGGAGTGCAATGGCATGATCTCGGCTTACCGCAACCTCCGCCTCCTGGGTTCAAGCAATTCTCCTGCCTCACCCTCCCGAGTAGCTGGGATTACAGGCACGCGCCACCATGCCCAGCTAATTTTTTGCATTTTTAGTAGAGATGGGGTTTCACCATGTTGACCAAGATGGTCTCGATCTCTTGACCTTGTGATCCACCCACCTCAGCCTCCCAAAGTGCGGGGATTACAGGCTTGAGCAACCGCACCCGGCCTATACTCCTTAAACTTTTACCCACTAGCTTTAGCATTGTACAGTGTCCACTGATACACTGATAACTCAATCAGTTACTATGATGGTTATCAAATAGTGATTTTCCAATTCCATTATTCCTTCTTCACTTATTATTTTGGATTTTCCTGAAATAACTTTCTGGTCAGGCATGGTGGCTCATGCCTGTATTCTCAGCACTTTGGGATGCCAAGGCGGGCCAATCACTTGAGGTCAAGCGTTCAAGACTAGCCTGGCCAACAAGGTGAAACCCTGTCTCTATTAAAAATAAAAAAAAATTAGCCAGGCATGGTGGTGCCTGCCTGTAATCACAGCTACATGGGAAGATGAGGCAGGAGAACTGCTTGAACCCAGGAGGTGGAGGTTGTAGCAAGCTGAGATCACTCCACTGTACTCCAGCCTGGGTGACAGAGCTCGACTCTACCTTAAGAAAAAAAAAGAAGCCGGGCGCGGTGGCTCAAGCCTGTAATCCCAGCACTTTGGGAGGCCGAGGCGGGTGGATCACGAGGTCGAGAGATCGAGACCAACCTGGTCAACATGGTGAAACCCCGTCTCTACTAAAAATACAAAAAATTAGCTGGGCATGGTGGTGCGTGCCTGTAATCCCAGCTACTCAGGAGGCTGAGGCAGGAGAATTGCCTGAACCCAGGAGGCGGAGGTTGCGGTGAGCCGAGATCGCGCCATTGCACTCCAGCCTGGGTAACAAGAGCGAAACTCCGGTCTCAAAAAAAAAAAAAAAAAAGAAAAAGGGGCCCGTGTGGTGGCTCATGCCTGTAATCCCAGCACTTTGGGAGGCCAAGGCAGGTGGATTACTTGAGGACAGGAGTTCGAGACCAGTCTGACCAACATGGTGAAACCGTGTCAAAAAAAAAAAAAAAAAAAAAAAAAAAATTTCTCTTCTCCTTCATTTATTCACTCATTCATTATTTATTCATTTATGTATGTATTTATGTCCACATATAGATTCTTATAAATAATAATTATTTACTATCATTCTTTATTTTGATGATCAAACAGTCTTACGCTTGGCCAGCAGGATACTCCTTTAAGTGATCCCTATATCCCTATCTTACCTTATTTTTTTTTTGAGGAGGAGTCTCACTGTATTGTCCAGGCTGGATCTCGGCTCACAGCAAGCTCCATCTCCGGGTTCAAGCGATTCTTCTGCCTCAGCCTCCCAAGTAGATAGGATTACAGGCACCTGCAACCACACCCAACTAACTTTGTAATTTTAGTAGAGACGAGGGGTTTCACCAAGAGCCTGGTCTTGAACTCCTGACCTAAGGTGATCCACCCGCCTTGGCCTCCCAAAGTGTTCAGATTACAGGCTTGAGCCACCACACCTGGTTTTCTTCCCATCTTTGAATAAGATTTGTTACAGACTTTATTCAAAGAGAACATATCTTTGGGGCATGGTGGCTCACGCCTGTAATCTGAACACTTTGGTGTTCCAAGGCAGGAGGATCACTTGAGTCCAGGAGTTCAAGACCAGGCAACATGGCGAAACCCCATCTCAACAAAAAAAACAAAAATTAGCCAGGTATTTTGGCGCAAACTGTAGTCCCAGATACTCAAGAGCCTGAGGTGGGAGTATCACTTAAGCCCAGGAAGTTGTGGCTGCAGTGAGCCATGACTGCATCATTGCCCTCCAGCTGGGAACTCTGGGTGACAGAGCAAGACCTTGTCTCAAAAAAAAAAAAAAGGCCGGGCGCGGTGGCTCAAGCCTGCAATCCCAGCACTTTGGGAGGCTGAGGAGGGTGGATCACGAGGTCGAGAGATCGAGACCATCCTGGTCAACATGGTGAAACCCCGTCTCTACTAAAAATACAAAAAATTAGCTGGGCGTGGTGGCGCGTGCCTGTAATCCCAGCTACTCAGGAGGCTGAGGCAGGAGAATTGCCTGAACCCGGGAGGCGGAGGTTGCGGTGAGCCGAGATCGCGCCATTGCACTCCAGCCTGGGTAACAAGAGCGAAACTCCGTCTCAAAAAAAAAAAAAAAAAAAAAAAAAAAAAAAAAAAAGAAAGAAAGAAAGAAAAGAAAATGTCAAAAAAAAAAAATGTTAAAAAGAGAAAACATCATCTATGTAGAAAGTCCAAAAAAACCTGTCCAGGCATGGTGACTCATACTTATAATCCCAGCACTTTGGGAGGCCAAGTTGGGAGAGTCAGTTGTGGTCAGGAGTTCAAGATCAGCCTGGCCAACATGGTAAAACCCCGTCTCTACTAAAACTACAAAAATTAGCTGGGTGTGGTGGCAGGCCACTGTAATCCCTGCTACTAGGGCATCTGAGGCTGGAGAATCACTTGAACCCAGGAGGCGGAGGTTGAGATCACATTACAGCACTCCAGCCTGGACAACAAGAGCAAAACTACAACTCAAAAAAAAAAAAAAAAAAAGGAAAATTTCAAAAAACCTACAAAGATCTACTAGAACTAATAAGTGATGATTAAAACGTTGTAGGACACAAAGTTAATACAGTTGATTGTTGTGCGACACAGGCATTAGGGCCACTGATTTCCTGCCTGGTCAAAAACCTCCCCATATAACTTTTTTTTTTTTTTTTTTTTTTTTTTGAGACAGAGTTTCGCTCTTTCAACCAGGCTGGAGTGAAATGTCGCAATCCCAGCTCACTGAAACCTCAACCGGCCAGGTTCAAGCAATTTTCCTGCCTCAGCCTCCCATGTAACTGGGATTACAGGCATGTGCCACCATGCCTGGCTAATTTTTTTGTTTTGTTTTTAGACAAAGTCTGACTCTGTTGCCCAGGCTGCAGTGCAGTGGCTTGATATTGGCTCACTGCAACCTCCACCTCCTGGGTTCAAGCAATAGTTTGCCTCAGCCTCCCAAGTAGCTGGGATTACAGGTGCCCACCACCAAGCCCAGCTAATTTTTTTGTGTGTATATATATATATACATATATATGTATATATATATATACATATATGTGTGTGTGTGTATATATATATATATATATATATATTTTTTTTTTTTTTTTTTTTTTTTTTTTTTGAGACGGAGTTTCGCTCATGTTACCCAGGCTGGAGTGCAATGGTGCGATCTCGGCTCACCACAACCTCCACCTCCTGGGTTCAGGCAATTCTCCTGCCTCAGCCTCCTGAGTAGCTGGGATTACAGGCACGCGCCACCATGCCCAGCTAATTTTTGTATTTTTAGTAGAGGCGGGGTTTCACCATGTTGACCAGGATGGTCTCAATCTCTTGACCTCGTGATCCACCCACCTCGGCCTCCCAAAGTGTTGGGATTACAGGCTTGAGCCACCGCGCCCGGCTCTTTTTTTTTTTTTTTTTTTTTTTTGAGATGGAGTTTCACTCTTGGTGCCCAGGCTGGAGTGCAATGGCGCGATCTCGGCTCACCGCAACCTCCGCCTCCTGGGTTCAGGCAATTCTCCTGCCTCAGCCTCCCGAGTAGCTGGGATTACAGGCACGAGCCACCATGCCCAGCTAATTTTTTGTATTTTTAGTAGAGACGGGGTTTCACCTTCTTGACCAAGATGGTCTCGATCTCTTGACCTTGTGATCCACCCGCCTCGGCCTCCCAAAGTGCTGGGATTACAGGCTTGAGCCACCGCGCCCAGCCCTTTTTTTTTTTTTTTTTTTTTTTTAAGACAGAGTCTCACTCCGTCACCAGGCACCAGGCTGGAGTGCAGTGGTGCAACCTCGGCTCACTGCAACCTCCGCCTCCCGGGTTCAAGCAATTCTCCTGCCTCAGCCTCCTGAGTAGCTGGGACTACAGGTGTGGGCCACCACGCCCAGCTAATTTTTTTTTTGTATTTTTAGTAGAGACGGGGTTTCACCATGTTGGCCAGGATGGTCTCAATCTCTTGACCTCATGATCCACCCGCCTTGGCCTCCCAAAGTGCTGGGATTACAGGCGTGAGCCACTGTGCCCAGCGTTTTTAAAATTTTTTTTTTTTTTTGAGACGGAGTTTCACTCTCGTTACCCAGGCTGGAGTGCAATGGAGCGATCTCGGCTCACCGCAACCTCTGCCTGGGCTCAGGCAATTCTCCTGCCTCAGCCTCCTAAGTAGCTGGGATTACAGGCACGCGCCACCACACCCAGCTAGTTTTTTGTATTTTTAGTAGAGACGGGGTTTCACTATGTTGACCAAGATGGTCTCGATCTCTCGACCTCGTGATCCACCCGCCTCGGCCTCCCAAAGTGCTGGGATTACAGGCTTGAGCCACCGAGCCCGGCCTAAAATTTTTATTTTTAAGGCTAGTCAAGTGAAGCAGTGGGAGTGGAGAAGGAACAAAGAAATCTGTAACTAGTTGTGATCAATTAGTTGTAAACACCACTGCACTCCGAACAGCTATTTTTTTGTATTTTTAGTAAGGATGGGGTTTCACCACTTGACCAGGCTGGTCTTAAACCTCTGGCATTATGATCCACCCACCTTGGCTTCCCAAAGTGCTGGGATTACAGGTGTGAGCCACCATGCCCAGCCAATTTTTGTATTGTTAGTAGAGATAGGGTTTTGCCACGTTGGCCAGGCTGGTCTGGAACTCCTGACTTCAGGTGATCCACCTACCTTGGCCTGCCAATGTGCTAGGATTATAGGCATGAGCCACCATACCCGGCCTCTCATATAACTTTGTTTGTTTTTTGTTTTTTTTTAAAAATAAGACAGAGTCTGGCTCTGTTGCCCAGGCTGGAGTGCAGTGGTGTTATCTCAGCTCACCATAATCTCCGCCTCCTGAGTTCAAGTAATTCTCCTGCTTCAGCTTCCCAAGTGGCAGGGATTACTGGCGTCTGCCACCATGCCTGGTTAATTTTTGTATTTTTAGTAGAGACAGGGTTTCACCATGTTGGCCACGGCTGGTCTTGAACTACCAGCCCCAGGTAATACGCCAGCCTCTGCCTCCCAAAGTGCTAGGATTATAAGGGTGAGCCAGTGGGCCTGGCCTCCTCAGTCTTTTCTTTTTTTTTTTTAAGATGCAGTTTTAGGCCGGGCGCGGTGGCTCAAGCCTGTAATCCCAGCACTTTGGAGGCCGAGGTGGGTGGATCACGAGGTTGAGAGATCGAGACCATCCTGGTCAACATGGTGAAACCCCATCTCTACTAAAAATACAAAAAATTAGCTGGGCATGGTGGCGCGTGCCTGTAATCCCAGCTACTCAGGAGGCTGAGGCAGGAGAATTGCCTGAACCCAGGAGGCGGAGGTTGCGGTGAGCCGAGATCACGCCATTGCACTCCAGCCTGGGTAACAAGAGCGGAACTCTGTCTCAAAAAAAAAAAAAAAAAAAAAAGATGCAGTTTTGTTCCTGTTGCCCAGGCTGGAGTTCAATGGCAAGATTTTGGCTCACTGCAAGCTCCGCCTCCTGAGTTCAAGGGCTTCTCCTGCAACAGCCTCCAGAGTAGCTGGAATTACAGACATGTGCCACCATGCTTGGCTAATTTTGCATTTTTAGTAGAGATGGGGTTCCTCCATGCTTGTCAGGACTGGTCTCAAACTCCCAACTTCAGGTGATCTGCCCGCCTCAGCCTCCCAAAGTGCTGGGATTATAGGTGTGAGCCACTGTGCCTGGCCTGTGCCATACAGTTTTAAACAACCAGATCTCATATGAACTCAGAAGGGGAACTCACTTATCACCAAGTAGATAATGGTAATCCATGTGTGATAAATCCACCCCCATGATCCAATCACCTCTCCTCAGACCCCACCTCCAACATTGGGAATCACATTGCAACATCAGATTTGGTGGGGACAAATATCCAAACCAAGTATTTCACAGCTTGTTATTATAAATTGTATTTTAAATATTTTAACTTCCAATTATTTGTTTCTATTATATGAAAATATAATTGATTTTTATATACAGTTGACCCTTGACCAACATGGGTTTGATCTGCACAGATCCATGTACATATGAATTTTCTTCATCTCTGCCACCACTAAGACAGTAAGACTCTTCTCTTCTTCCTCCTCCTTAGCCTATCAGTGTGAAAGCAATGAAGATGAAGACCTTTATGATGATCCACTTCCACGTAATGAATGCTGTGGTGTTTTTTTTTTTTTTTTTTGAGACAGAGTTTCGCTCTTGTTCCCCAGGCTAGAGTGCAATGGCGCGATCTCGGCTCACCGCAACCTCCGCCTCCTGGGTTCAGGCAATTCTCCTGCCTCAGCCTCCTGAGTAGCTGGGATTACAGGCACGCGCCACCATGCCCAGCTAATTTTTGTATTTTTAGTAGAGACGGGGTTTCACTATGTTGACCAGGACGGTCTCGATCTCTTGACCTTGTGATCCACCCGCCTCGGCCTCCCAAAGTCCCGGGATTACAGGCTTGAGCCACCGCGCCCGGCCTGTTTTTTTTTTTTTTTTTTTTTTTGAGACAGAGTATCGTTCCATTGCCAGGCGCCAGGCTGGAGTGCAGTGGCGCGATCTCGGCTCACTGCCACCTCTGCCTCCCGGTTTCAAGCAATTCTCCTGCCTCAGCCTCCCGAGTAGCTGGAATTACAGGAGCGCACCACCACGCCCAGCTAATTTTTTGTATTTTTAGTAGAGACGGGGTTTCACCATGTTGGCCAGGATGGTCTTGATCTCTTGACCTCGTGATTCACCCGCCTTGGCCTCCCGAAGTGCTGGGATTACAGGCGTGAGCCACCGCGCCCGGCTGATGTGGTGTTTTAACCAGAATTCATTTCCCTCCTCTCCTCTCCCAGTTTAGCCAAGTGGAGATTCCACTGCAGGATGGTGCAGCCAAGACCACAGGGCTTCCTCTCTCCTTAGCTTCCAGTTGGAGAGCCATCTTCCTGGTAAGGGCAAGACGTCAACAGTTCTCATCCAGCTCCCACCTACCTGTTGCTGATACCAAATTCTGGGCTAATGTGCAGGGGTTCTTTCTTCTCCCTGGCCCCTGCTGTGGGACAGAGGCTGTACGTTGGGTGTGGCTGTGCTGAGAACACTGAGGCATTCATTGCTTTAGTAGTGGTTCTGAAGGTGGTCCCACACCGAGGCAAACCAACACCTGTGTCTTCTACATCTCATCCACTGAGTTCTCAGCTCCTAGGCAGAAAAATCATTTGGAGAATTATGTCATTGTTTCTCCCACACTTCAGAGACTTGGCCTAGAGATTTTCCCTGGCAGGAGAAGCAAGTTTTAAAGCAAGTATCTCCTAAAAGAAAAGGGTGGAGTGGGGGTGGGGAAGGAAGAAAGCAGTTCCTAATCTCTTCCCAGAAGGACTGACTTAATTTGCAATGGAGTGTGGGAGAATTTGAGCCTAAGGGTTCTTTCAAAAATAGCGGAGGTTGTGGTGAGGCAATTGGGAGGAGCCATTGGATATATAAACTAAAATGTGGGTTGGCTACTGTGCCCAAGAGAATTGGGAAAGTAGACATTTGGAGAAACCTGCCTTGGGACTGAACAAATCTCAAACCTTGACCCTGACAACAATCTCTTAAAGGAGCCTGAATTTGACTGGATTATTTCTGAGAAGGAATTTGTGACCAAGGGCATTACTGAAAGGAATAGAGCCATCAGTAGTGAATGGAATTTAACAGCTAGGATTGTTCAGGGAAAAGAGTCAGAGATCCCTGCCAAAATCTTTGTTATCCCAGGGTGACTGTAGACATATCCAAGATTGTGGGACCTGGGGAACCAAGATCAGAGGCTTAGAACTGTTGGGAGTAGGAGCCTGGGTACAGTGGCTGACACCTGTGATCCTAGTACTTTTGGAGGCCGAGGCAGGCAGATAACCTGAGGTCAGGAGTTCAAGATCAGCCTGGCCAAGATGGTGAACTCTGTTTCTAAAATAGAAACACTACCTGGGCATGGTGGTGTGTGCCTGTGATCCCAGCCACTTAGGAGGCTTGAGGCAGGAGAACTGCTTGATCCAGGCAGGCAGATGTTGCAGTGAGCTGAGATGGCAGCACTGCACTCTAGCCTGGGCAAGAGTTAGACTCTGTCTCAAAAAACGCTGGGCATGGTGGCTCATGCCTATAATCCCAGCACTTTGGGAGGCTGAGGCAGGTGGATCACAAGGTCAGATCAAGACCATCCTGGCTAACACAGTGAAACCCTGTCTCTATTAAAAATACAAAAAATGGCCGGGCGCGGTGGCTCAAGCCTGTAATCCCAGCACTTTGGGAGGCCGAGGCGGGTGGATCACGAGGTTGAGAGATCGAGACCAACCTGGTCAACATGGTGAAACCCCGTCTCTACTAAAAATATAAAAAATTAGCTGGGCATGGTGGCGTGTGCCTATAATCCCAGCTACTCAGGAGGCTGAGGCAGGAGAATTGCCTGAACCCAGGAGGCGGAGGTTGCGGTGAGCCGAGATCGCGCCATTGCACTCCAGCCTGGGTAACAAGAGCGAAACTCCGTCTCAAAAAAAAAAAAAAAAAAAATACAAAAAATTAGCCAGGGTGTGGTGGCTGGCACCTGTAGTCCCAGCTACTCAGGAGGCTGAGGCTAGAGAATCACTTGAACCCGGGAGGCAGAGGTTGCAGTGAGTCAAGATCAAGCCACTGCACTCCAGCCTGGGCTACAGAGAGAGACTTTGTTCAAAAAAGGAAAAAAAAAAGCTGTTGGGAGTAGGCAATAGGTTGCACTAAAGCATTCCACCCAGTCACTAAACAAATAAAAAGCAAATAACAGAACCAGCCCTTTACTAGCAGATCAGTACCCAAGAGTTACTATATTATTTTATTATTTATTTATTTATTTATTTATTTATTTTATTTTATTTTTTTTTTTGAGACGGAGTTTCGCCCTTGTTACCCAGGCTGGAGTGCAATGGCGCGATCTCGGCTCACCGCAACCTCCGCCTCCTGGGCTCAGGCAATTCTCCTGCCTCAGCCTCCTGAGTGGCTGGGATTACAGGCACGTGCCACCATGCCCAGCTAATTTTTTGCACTTTTAGTAGAGACGGGGTTTCACCATGTTGACCAGGATGGTCTCGATCTCTTGACCTCGTGATCCACCCGCCTCGGCCTCCCAAAGTGCTGGGATTACAGGCTTGAGCCACCGCGCCCGGCTTATTATTTATTTTTACAGGATTTCGCTCTGTGGGCCAGGCTGGAGTACAGAGGTGCGATCATGGCTCACTGCAGTCTTGATTTCCTGGGCTGAAGCAATCCTCCTGCCTCAGCCTCCCAAGAAGCTGGCACTACAGACATGGACCACCATGGCTGGCTAATTTTTGTGTTTTTTGTAGAGACAAGGTTTTACCATGTTGCTCAAGCTGGTCTTGAACTCCAGAGCTCAAGCAATTTGTTCACCTCAGCCTCCCAAAATTCTGGGATTACAGGTGTGCGCCACTGTACCTGGCCCAATATATTATTATTTTTTGAGATGGAGTCTCGCTCTGTAGCCCAGGATCGAGTGCAGTGGCGTGATCTCGGCTCACTGCAACCTCTGCCTCACGGGTCCCCGTTCAAGCAGTTCTACTTCAGCCTCCCAAGTAGCTGGGATTACAGGCACGAGCCACCATGCCCAGCTAATTTTTGTATTTTTTAGTAGAGACAGGGTTTCACCATGTTGGCCTGTCTGGTCTTGGAACTACTGACCTCGTGATCTGCCCACCTCACCCTCCCAAAGTGCTGCGATTACAGGCATGAGCCACCGTGCCTGGCCCCAGTATATTGTTTTAAATACACCAATTTCCCACAAACATATTATGAGACTTGTGAAAAAACAGGGAACTATGATCCATACTCTGGAAAAAAGCAGGAAACATATACTGCTTGCAATTGCAAACAGATGTTCCATTTAAAAGGCTTCATAGTAGCCATTATAATACTTTCAAAGAACTAATTATGAAGGAAGGTATGACAACAAAGTCAAATGACACAGAGATTATTATCAATGAAGACAATAGTTTTTTTTTTTTTTTTTTTTTTTTGGAACTGAGTCTTACTCTGTCACCCAGGCTGCAATCGCTCGTTGCAACCTCTGCTTCCTGAGTTCAAGCTATTTTCCTGCCTCAGCATCCTGAGTAGCTGGGATTACAGCACCGTGCCCTGCTAATTTTTGTATTTTTAGTAGAGATGGGATTGCATCATGTTGGCCAGGCTGCTCTCTAACTCCTGACCTCATGATCTGCCTGCCTTGGCCTCCCAAAGTACTGGAATTAGAGGTGTGAGCCACCATACCCAGCCTATTATTATTTTTTGAGATGCAGTCTTGCTCTGTCGCCCAGGCTGGAGTGGAGTAAGTGGTACAAGCTAGGCTCACTACTATCCCTGACTCTCAAGTTCAAGCAATCCTCTCACCTCAGCCTCCCAAGTAGCTAGGAGTACAAGTGTGAGCCACCACACCCAGCTAATTTTTGCATTTTTTTAGTAGAGTCAGGGTTTCACCATGTTGGCCAGGCTGGTCTCTAACTCCTGACTTCAAGTGATCCTCCTGCCTTGGTCTCCCAAAGTGCTGGGATTACAGGCATGAGCCACAGTGCCTGGCCATATTTTCTAATGTGTTTTAAACAACAGTGATTTTACACCAGTGAGACCGATGTCAGACTTCTCAACTACAGAACTGTAAGATAATAAACCTATGTTATGTTAAGCTACTATACTTTAGTAATTTTTTAGCCAAGCAATAAAAACCTAATATAATAGACAACCTACATTTGAACTTTAGAGGAATCTACAACTTGTTATTTTGCTAACTTAGTGACTTATCTTTCTTTTTTCTTTTTCTTTTGATTTATGTTCCAGTCAGAACAGCTCATTGCTACTCAAATATTATGCTAGTTGGTTTTCTTTCTTTCTTTATTTTTTGAGAGAGTCTTGCTCTGTTGCCCAGGCTGGAGTGCAGTAGTGCAATCTCGGCTCACTGTAACCTCCGCCTCCTGGGTTCAAGCAATTCTCCTGCCTCAGACTCTTGAGTAGTTGGGATTACAGGCATGCACCACCATGCCCAGCTAATTTCTGTACTTTTCTTTTTTTCTAAATTTCTGTACTTTACTAAAAAGATGGATTTCACCATGTTGGCCAAGCTGGCCTCGAACTCCTGACGTCAAATCTGCCCACCTCGGCCTCCCAAACTGCTGGGATTACAGGCATGAGCCACTGTGCCTAGCAGCAAATTTAACTTTTTAAAGGGCCGGGCACGGTGGCTCAAGCCTGTAATCCCAGCACTTTGAGAGGCCGAGGCGGGTGAATCACGAGGTCAAGAGATCGAGACCATCCTGGTCAACATGGTGAAACCCCGTCTCTACTAAAAATACAAAAAATCAGCTGGGCATGGTGGCGCGTGCCTGTAATCCCAGCTACTCAGGAGGCTGAGGCAGGAGAATTGCCTGAACCCAGGAGGCGGAGGCTGCAGTGAGCCGAGATCGCGCCATTGCACTCCAGCCTGGGTAACGAGCGAAACTCCATCTCAAAAAAAAAAAAAAACAACAACAACAACAAAAAAATAAAAACAAAAACTTTTTAAAGGCCAGTTAATTCAGCACAAGAAGGCTACTTGATGACCTTAGACAAATACTTTTCCGATAAATGCTAAGGGCCAGATTGAAATGGATTAAAAAATGAGACACAGCCGGGCGCTGTGGCTCACATCTGTAATCCCAGCTCTTAAGGAGTCAGAGGCGGGAGGACAGCTTGAGACCAGGCGTTCTGAACCAAAGGGAATGAGACACAAAGGAACGGAAATAACGGCGTATTTAACTTTTAGTAAGTTCAGGTTCTTATCTACACCTAGGCTTTCCACTAGATAGTTCTCACCACAGATCCTAGTAGTTGAGTCGATTACATTTTTCTTTCTTTCTTTCTTTTTTTTGTATTTTTAGTAGAGATGGGGTTTTGCCATGTTGCCCAGCTTGGTCTTGAACTCCTGACCTCAGGTGATCCATCCGCCTCAGCCTCCCAAAGCGCTAGGATTACAGGTCCGGCCTATTTTTTCTTTTTTATAGAGATGGGGTCTCCCCATGTCGGCCAGTCTAATGGACTGCTCTAAATTCCCGGCCTGAGGTGATCCTCCTGCCTGGATCACCTCAGGCCAGGAGACTGGGACCAGCCTGCGAGATTGAGACTGGGCAACATGGCGAGACCCCTCCCCCAAGTTTAGAAAATGTGGGTGGCAGTGGACTCAAATTGTCGGCACAGGTAAAAGCAATTATTCATTTTTCAGAGGCATAGTGTGTGGATGTGAGAACAGGATGGCATTTCTGACAAGAGGTCTGTGTGTTCCCAAGTCCCTGTATCCTAAAACCTTCACTTAGACATATTATCTAACTATGCTGTCTTACCTAACCTATCGCGCTCTTGGTCCCAGAGTCTAAGTGGCAGCCCCAAACTAATTACTGTATAGCAGTAGAGTACACACCAGGCACTTCCCCGACAATCTACAACCCCATCCAAAGGAGTCAGAAACTGTTAATAAAATACCAGCCGCGACCCTTTCCTTCCCCTCAACTTGTCAATTTGGCGACACATTCCCACCTCTAGCCTGCAGGAACAAACATTCCCAAGATCCCGGGCGGTTTCAATTGACGTTACTTCCGGGAAAAGTAACCTTGCCTCGGCAGTCGCGGGCCTACAACGCTCTCGCGACATTTCCTCCTGCGAGATCTGCTTGCTCACTGTAGCGATGACATCCTCCTCCTCCCCGCTGCCTTTCGGCAATCTTCGCCAGTCCCAGCCTCGACCAATCTGTACTCAGATGGCATGGATCAGGGTCTTCCCTGGAACCCCGGTCCGCACCGGGCGTCAGGTGGCAGCGGCAGGGTGCAAGGTGCACGAGGCCGACGGCAGCGGCACTGCGAGTGGCCACGGGCAGGCGACGAGCAGTGAGTGTGGGCGGGGCGGGGGTAAGCCACCCGAGTAGCGGCTCGATTGTTCTGGCCTGGCTATGGCGCCTCTCCTCCCCCCCGCCATGGCTCCCCGTGTCCCTGCTCCGCTCCTCTCAGTGAGTGAAAGTGGCCGCCGCCGCCGCCGGCCCAGCGCCCGCAGCCGCCTCAGCGCCGCCGCCATCTTGGGGTCCCAGGAGCCGCGGAGGGAGCGAGCTAGGAGCGTCCACGCCCAACGCAGTCACTGTCCCACGGCCTCAGAGAGCGAACCGCGGCTCCACCGTCGGCGGGGCGACCCCCCCCTCCGGACCCCGCCCGCACTCCGCCCCCCCTCCGCCGCCGCCGCGGCGGCGGGGCCCGGCGGCCCGAGGTGAGGCGACTAGACGTGGGCGGGCGAACGGAGTGGGGGTTGTGTAGGCCTTGTTGCGCCCCTCTCTGCGGGCGACAACTGGGCCGCGTCTTAAAGGGGCCGTCGCCCCCGGCCCTCCGATTTGTTGGGGTTAGTATGGAGGATGGGTGTGGACACTCCCCGCAGGGTTGGGACCTCAGGGACTTAGGGCCTCGTCCTTCCCGTCTCATATCTCGAGAGACCCGGGGTCACGCGGTAATCTCAGCTACCTGAGGAAGCCCGTGGGGCGCCCACACGTGGGGAGTGTGTTAGACCAGGTGCACGTGGGACCCGGTGGGGCGGTGTCGGGCTAACACGTGTGTAGGTTTGGGGGTGGGCAGGGGCAGGGCGGAGGCTGGAAGGCGTTGAGTGAGAACCCTGTGAGGGGTGTATATCTGTCATTTTAAACAAATGAGATCTAAGGACTTTTTAGTGTAAGTGTCAGTTTGTAAGGCTCAAGTTGAAATGCGGTTGAATGGTGCACGCTGCTGGCTGGTGTTGGGTGGGGGCAGGCTGACACCTGCATAGACTTAGGAGTGTGTAGATGACACCCTTTCTGGTTTTTCAGTTTTTTGTAGAGCGACTAGGCAAGTGTCATCCTATTTTGACGTTCCTTCTTGAGCTGGCTGATGAAAAGTACTACTTCCGTAATCGCCGAGGCTGGAAGCCCCCTACAGTTTATTAGTGACAGAGCCCAGGAAGCCACTTACTATTCTAGCTAACAGCATTTTGTGTGTGGAATTCTTTGATTCACAAACTGTCTCTAGTTTCATGTTCTTGTTAGGAATGGGAGATGGAATTTGGAGGTTGACCTGGCTAACATTAAGGTTAGTTTTTCAGTGACTTAATGATTTCCTTTGCCAACAAAATTATTGTGGCTTTTCAGTGGCAACTTAAAAAAAATTTAATAAGCTTTATTGAAATATGATTCACATACCAAAAAATTCAGCATTCTAAAGCATATAATTCATCGATATTCTAAAACTGTATTAAGTTCTATAGCCATCAACCACTATTTAATTCGTCATCCTGAAAAAAGAATCTCTAGAAGCCATTTAGCAGACACTCCCCATTCCCTTTCCCCCCAGCCAAGTAACCACCGGTATATTTTCTGTCTAGATTTGCCTATAAAAAGAATCATACAATATGCGTCTTTCTTTGCTTGGTTTGTTTCCCTGAACATGTGTTTTCAAGGTTCATCTATGTCGTAGCATGTTATCAGGACTTCATCCCCCCTGCCCCCCGTCCTTTTTTTTTTTTTTTTTAAGATGGAGTCTCCTCTGTAGCTCAGCTAGGAGTACAGTGGCGCGATCTTGGCTCACTGCAGCCTCCACCTCCCAGGTTCAAGCGATCCTCCTGCCTCAGCCTTCCAAGTAGCTGAGACTACAGGCGCCTGCCACCATACCTGGCTAATTTTTTTGGTATTTTCGAGTAGAGAAGGAGGGGTAGGGGAGGGTTTCACCGTGTTAGCCAGGATGGTGTAGATCACATGACCTCGTGATCCGCCTGCCTAGGCCTCCCAGAGTGCTGGGATTACAGGCATGAGCCACCGTGCCCTGGTGAGTCCGTCCATCAGTCCGTCCTTCCTTTCTTCTCTCCTTCCTTCTCTTCCTCCCTCCGTCCCTCCGTTCCTCTCTCTCTCTCTCTCTCTCTCTCTCTGTCTTCTTCCTTTCTTCCTTCCTTTCTTTCGCTTTTTCTTTTTCTCGACGGAGTTTAGCTCTGTCACCATGCTGTTGTACAATGGCGCGATCTGGACTCACTGCAACCTTTGCCTTACCAGTTAAATCGATTTTCCTGCCTCAGCCTCCTGAGTAGCTGGGACTACAGGTGCACGCCACCACACCCGGCTAATTTTTGTATTTTTAGTAGAAACGGGGTTTCACCATGTTGGCCAGGATGGTCTCCATCTCTTAACCTCGTGATCCGCTCACCTCGGCCTCCCAAAGTGCTGGGATTACAGGCATGAGCCACCGTGCCCAGTCCTTTTTTTTGAGACAGAGTGTTGCACTGTGACCCAGGCTGGTGTGTGGTGGCGCGACCTTGGCTTGCCACAGCTTCTACCTCCAGGGTTCAAGCAATTCTCCTGCTTCAGCCTCCTGAGTAGCTAGGATTATAGGCGCCCGCCACCATGCTCAGCTAGTTTTTTTGTATTTTTAGTAGAGACAGGGGTTCACTATGTTGTCCAGGCAATTCCCAACTCCTGACCTCGTGATCCGCCGCCTTAGCATCCCAAAGTACTGGGAGTGCTGGGATTACAGGCAAGAGCCACTGTGCCTGGCATTGTTTTTTGTTTTTGTTTTTTCTCTTTATCAGACTGAGACTGTTGCCAGGCTGGAGGGCTGTGGTGCAGTCTTGGCTCACTACAGTCTCCACTTCCCAGGTTCAAGTGCTTCTGTCTCAGCCTCCTGCCACCATGCCTGGCTAATTTTTGTATTTTTAGTGGAGACGGGTTTTCACCATGTTGACCAGGATGATCTTGAACTCCTGACCTCAAGTGTTCCGCCTGCCTTGGCCTCCCAAAATGCTGGGATGACAGGGATGAGGCACTGCACCATTTTTTTTTAATACCAAATAATATTCTATTCTGGTTGTATTTTATGTTTGAAATTTTCAAGCTCTTCCTCCCATAAAACAATTTGAGATTATGTGTGGTAAACGTTGCATACCTTCTAGACTTTAAAATAAATTTTGTTTTTAAGGGATTCATTTCCATCATTTAGTTTACTATGTTGTTTTACATTTTATTTCAGTAGAAACGAAATCAATTTTTGAAAGTCTGTAAATTGTGATAGGAAATAATAAAGATCATATTTGTGTAGACAGCACAAATGTGATTAGAAAAGTTTATGTCTAATAAAAACATTTTGAGTACATCAAGGTGGAAATGTGATTAAGTCAAAGCAACAAATCAAGAGCTGTGATGCTGGGCGTGTTGTCTCAAGCCTATGGTCCCAGCTACTCAGGAGGCAAGCACTGGCACAATCATAGCTCACTACTCTTGAGCCCCTAGTAAGCTATGATTGTGCCATTGTACTGCAGCCTGGGTGCGGAGTGAGACCCTGATCATGCTAAGTGCGTTGCAGCCCAGGCACAGAGTGAGACTCTGTCTCTTAAAAAAATTTATAAGCTGTGGTGTTAGAAGTTCACTTAATAGCTGGGTGCGGTGGCTTACGCCTGTAATCCCAGCACTTTGGGAGGCTGAGGCGGGTGGATCACGAGGTCAAGAGATCGAGACCATCCTGGTCAACATGGTGAAACCCCGTCTCTACTAAAAATACAAAAAATTAGCTGGGCATGGTGGCACATGCCTGTAATCCCAGCTACTCAGGAGGCTGAGGCAGGAGAATTGCCTGAACCCAGGAGGCGGAGGTTGCGGTGAGCCGAGATCGCGCCATTGCACTCCAGCCTGGGTAACGAGCGAAACTCCATCTCAAAAAAAAAAGTTAATAAAAACTGGGCACAGTGGCTCTTGCCTGTAATCCCTGTACTTTGGGAGGCTGAGACTGGTGGGGATCACCTGAGGTCTGGAGTTTGAAACCAGTTTGGCCAACATGATGAAACCCTACGTCTACTAAAAATACAAAAAATTAGCTGGGCATGATGGTGCGCTCCTGTAATCCCAGCTACTCAGGAGGCTGAGGCAGGAGAATCACTTGAACCCAGGAGGCGGAGGTTGCCGTGAGCTGAAATGGCGCCACTGCACTCCAACCTGGGCAACAAGAGCGAAACTCTGTCTCAAAAAAACAAAACAAAAAAACAACTGGCTAGGGGATTTAATACCTGAATATACAAGTTCATATTAAATAGACCAGCCTTGGTGGTTCACACCTGTAATCCCACCACTTTGGGAGGCCGAGACAGGCAGCTTGCTTGAGCTCGAGAATTTGAAACCTGCGTGGGCAACATGGCAAAACCTTGTCTCTACAAAAAATACAAAAATTAGCCAAGCATGGTGATGTGCACCTGTAGTTCAAGCTATTTGGGAGGCTGACGTGGGAGGATGGCTCGAGTCCTGGAGGCAGAGATTGCAGTTAGCTGTGATAGAGCTACTGTACTTCAGCCTCGCAACAGAGCCAGAGCTGGCTCAGAAACAACAAAATACAAATGAAAGGTAAATGCTAGGATGCAGTGGATTTTAGAGTGGACAGAGTGGATTAGAGCTAACAGGAGACTTGAGTTTTTATAGGAAAACTGTTGAAAAGTTTTTTTTTTTTTGATACGGAGTTTCGCTCTTGTTACCCAGGCTGGAGTGCAATGGCGCGATCTCGGCTCACCGCAACCTCCGCCTCCTGGGTTCAGGCAATTCTCCTGCCTCAGCCTCCTGAGTAGCTGGGATTACAGGCACACGCCACCATGCCCAGCTAATTTTTTGTATTTTAGTAGAGATGGGGTTTCACCATGTTGACCAGGATGGTCTCGATCTCTTGACCTCGTGATCCACCCACCTCGGCCTCCCAAAGTGCTGGGATTACAGGCTTGAGCCACCGTGCCCGGCTTGAAAAGTTTTAAAGTTGGATCTTAAGCATCAGAATCTTGATATGATACGCTATAGCATGTAGAGATTGAGAAGGGCATAGACACTAACATTAAACAACTCTTGTGAGTCAGTCAGTATGGTAGATAACATTAAATATTATCATTTTAATGCTCATAAAACTTCCTTGTAATTATCCTCATTTTACAGATGACAAAATTGAAACCAAGTTAAATCACATACCCAGTAAAT